AAGCAGCTGAAGCGCGCCTCATCGATGCTTTCGAAGAATCATCCAACCTGAAGTCTCGTTTCTTGGCCAGCATATCGCATGAGCTGCGCACCCCGATGAACGGGATGTCTCTGGCTCTGGCCATGCTTATGGATACACCGCTGAATGACAACCAGCGCGAATATGCATCCATGCTCGAGGACTCAGGCAAGTTCCTCATGCAGGTGATAAACAACTTTCTGGACTACTCCCAACTGTCGTCGGATCCTTTACATCTGCACACAGATATCTTCAGTATTCCCGACGAGGTCAGCATGGTGACCCGCAAATGCAAGTCGGGGACAAAGCACGGGGTAGTCTTAGGGTGTACCGTTGCCCCCCAGTTTCCCCAAAACGTAAAAGGCGATCGGCTGCGGTTCCGGCAGGTTCTGCAGAATCTGGTCAGCAATGCGGTGAAATTCACAGAACGCGGATATGTCCGCGTCGATGTCACGTACACCGTCGATGAGGATGATCCTGAGACATATATCATCACGGCTCGGGTTGTGGATTCCGGGGTCGGCGTTCCACATGATACCATCGATTCACTCTTCGAACCCTTTACCCGATTTACAGACTCAGCCACCAAGAGTTTTCCGGCTACTAGGCTGGAACTCTCGATCTGCAAAACTTTAGCCGAGTTGATGAATGGAACGGTTGGCTTCCATGCGAATCCCGACGGGCCGGGCAGCGTATTTTGGATGGCCGTAAAGGTGGGTCGCGTCGATACATCGAATTTTGAAGCAAATCAGTCGGGCTCGTGGGAAGACGAAACGCCGCTTGATACTTGTGCCCTCCAGAAGGTTGCCCCGCAGACGCATATCCTGCTAGTCGAGGATAACAAGATCAACCACACTATCATGCTGAAGCTTCTGAATAGTCTCGGGTTTGAAAGGTTGGATGCCGCCTGGGACGGTGCGGAAGCCGTGCGAATGGTGAAATCAAAGCCACTCGCCTACAACCTGATCTTGATGGACATCAATATGCCGGTCATGGATGGCTTGACGGCGACAGAGCATATTCGCAAAATGAATGCAGTTGTGCCTATCATTGCGCTGACAGGGAACGCTTTGAAGGGCGATGCCGAGACCTACCTGGCCAGGGGCATGAGTGACTGTGTCGCTAAACCTCTGCATCGGCAACAGCTGGTAAATGTACTTTGGAAGTGGTGCGGAACCTAATTTAGCGACTACCTTCCGCCGTAATCGTCTACTCCCGTACAGTCCTTATGTGGATCTCGACAGGATCAGGCGGGCGTTGGAACAGATCGCCCTCGCCGAAAGTCAGCGTCCCTCACGTACTGGCCAGTGTGTTCCACTGCATAACCTTCCTGGCAGCTACCTGGCTGGTCCGCGGATGGCAGTTCTTTGGCTACACTGCATTCGTTGTTTCCTTCCAGGTCTCCATGCCTTTGCATCCTGTCCGATTGCGAAGGTTGCAAGTTCCGAAGAATTAAGCTAAGAATTTAATCCACCTAAATTAGAGGACGCATCAGCGATACTTTCGAGGTATGCGGTTACTTACTTGGTTTGGCACGCGGCAGTCTTGGAGCGAGGAGGAAGTTCCAAGTCTATGTGGCCAAGCTGAGAAGTGAAGCCATGTGACCCTGCTTCCATATACATCAGAAGGGTAAATTCACTCAGCTCTCCACCAAATAAATTTTACTGATTGATGTTGGAGTTAGCGATTGTGGGCACAGAAACCCGATGCATAGGGAGATGTCGATTCATTAGAGGTTTCAAAGATTTCAAAGCAGCGAGCGAATTCTCCATTTTCATTGAACTCGACGTACTGGGAAGGGATCTTGCGGCGGATCTCGCGGCGGATCTCTATGTGACGCAGACTTGGCCCTATTCTGAGTATGCGATTCAATTGAAGAGTATCTGCCCATGCGGAGATGAAAAGAGCCTAGCGCTTGAGTAACTGACGCTGCACTGTTGCGGCACTCGGATGATCGTTTTTCAAAGCGAAGGGGCCCCACGGCAGGGCCCTGCATTTCGCATGCCAGGGCTATGCCACAGCGGTTTCGACCGTTCACAGCGGCCCATCACGGCCACTGACTGAGCTTAAGATAATGCTCCTTTATGGTCCTGCGGATGTTTAACAACGGCCGTTGTGTATATAGGCTCATCTATTCCCGCTGAAATAAGACAACCAGCCTTCCTCTGAATCACAAAAGTTGACAGTGCGCTAGTCGGTGGTGGTACCGAACTGCTGTTGGAAAGACTGGTGATGGAGAATCATTTCTGGGAGGTTGTCGCCTGTTTCCTCTCAATGGATGGATGCTACGGGGATCGTCTCATCGAACTCGACATCACGGGAGAAGACTGTCTTTCCCGAATAAACTTCATAAAGCTTGTACTGGTTTGATTCGCAGTAACCTAGCAATCGGCACTCGGATGATCTGGGCCCGGGTTTTTCTCGGTGCTTCTTCGGGATCAGTACCCATGCACGGGAGCCGATCCGCTGCAGATGCAGCAGTGACGGCGGCTCTCCGTATAAGATTCCATACGGGGCCTTCTTCTGTAAGATCGATGCTGGAGTGCGCAGCTTTAGATAGACCACCGTGTCCAAGAGCTCGGTCCACCAGGAAGGAGTACGCCGCATCGGGCAGGAGCGTGTTGACTCGCTCCCGGGTGGTGCGATTGGTACGTTCAGCCAGTCCATTCTGCCCTTTGCAGTATGGTGGCGAGGTGTCAAACTCGACTCCCTGGGATTCGAGATATGTTCCAATAGGCAAATATTCTTTCCCGTTGTCGGTGAGAAACCTTTTGATCTGGGCGCCGAACTGTCGGTGCATCCAGACCTCAAACTGTTGGAACTTCTAGAGCGCTTCATGCTTCCACCTCATAGCATAGGCCCACGAGCCACGAGAATAATCGTCAGTAAAGGTGATCACGTACCTGGAGCCATCTTTGGCCATCGGCATCTCCATGATGTCCGAATGGATCAATTCGAAAATTCTCGTTGAGTGCAGACGTGGTCGTCGTGCACGGGAGTTTCTCTTCTGATGCTGCTTACCCGACATACATGCCGCGCACTGCGGCGTTGCCAGCAGCTGCGCCGGCGTCAGCGGTCGGTACGGAGTGCCGGTCTGCGGGAGGACCACCCTCAGATCGCCCCGGTTCAGATGTCCCATCCGAGCATGCCACAACGCTTCGGAGGCCTGGTCCATTCCTGTGCTCGCATCTGCTTCGAGTATCCGGGCTTCACCACCGAGTTCAGAGGTTAACGCTGTACATTCTACGTCACTTGACTCCCAAGGATCGTCAACGTCCATGGCCACCGCCTGCGGTTCCAGGGGATCTGCATGGTCATGGGTCGCCGGCGCCCTCGCCAGTTGGACTCGCTCTCGGGATCTCTTGCTCACATGGCACCGCAGGATCAGTAGATCCTCCTCCGCATGGTAGGCGGTCCCCACGGTCCGTCCTCGGCGTTGCACAAAGACGTTCTGCGGGTGCGCCACCACCGAGTAGCGGTCTCGCAATAACTTCGGCACGCTGATCAGGTTCATCCCGACGCGTGGCGCAAGAATACATTCTTTAACACCAGGGGTTGGTTGAACTTCCCCCGGAGCGTGAGCTTCACCGTACCAATCCCTTCGGCTTCCACTGGATCGCCCGCCGTGTCCAACATCTCGCGGTGGGGCCGAAGACTGCTGAAGCAGCTGCGGTCCCAGCAGATGTGGCTGGTGGCGGCCGAGTCCAGGATCCACCGGGGTTGCGGTGCGTGGGTATAGAGGGTCGTCACCCTCGCCCTCACGATATTGATCCGCGGTCTCTTGGAAGTCGGCGGGCCCTGCCGATCTTCCATCTGGCTTGATGGTATATTTTGCATGTTGTTTCTTGGTGAGCCGGAAGCACTCCGTTCAGCCTTCAGGGCATGGTCCCTAGGCGGGTGTATTTCGCGCTGTTTCTTCCAGCACTCCGCGACCACATGGTCGCACTTCCTGCAGTAGGTACATTTCTTGGGATTTCTCTGCACTGCATTGATTGATGGTCCTGGGACTCCCGACGGGGGCGCGGGAGACTCCTTCTCCCGGACCGTCTGCTTGGCGTTGGACAGCCGATTTCCGATCGTGGTCGGGTTGACCGGATCCTTGTCATTCTGGATCGCATCCACAACCAGGATGTATTCCGGTCCGATCTGCGTGAGCAGAATCGCAATATGTGTCTTGTCACTGATTGATCCTGGAGCAATGGCATTCAATCGATGTACAAGCAGCCGTACGCGATCAACAAAATCACGCGCACTGGCGCATCATTCGCCGGTTGTCTCGCAAAGCTGGGCAAACAATTCGCAGAAAGTGGCGAGTTCCATTCGCCGGTACCGTTCTTCAAGTTCATTCCAGAGGTCACGGGACGTCTCTAGTCCCGCGACATGAATGCTGATGTGGGGGGGACAGGTACCGGAAAATGGTGTGGTAGGCGTCGGCTTCACGACGCGACCATTCACGATGGCGCTCGAATGCCTGGACCTCCACTTCGAGGCGCGCTTCAATGGCTCGCTGCCTCACCGCCCCATGCCCTGAAACGAACGAAGTGAGAGAAGGGGAAACGTCCTGCACGTGACTAGGCTTGAAACCTTATTTCAGTGGTTTTCATGGATTATCGCTAGACTGTAAGTCTAATACTGAAAAACCAACAGTCAAAGGCTGTATTAGTTATGCAAGTCACGGGCAAGACGATTTTGCTGGCAAATTCGCCCACCAATGCAAAGTTTGATGCTTTTGATGAGCATTATATGACATCACCAGTTCTATGTATCCAGAAAGGTAGTCTAGGTCCCTCTTGGACTAGTAGCCTCCGCCACAACTCCGTTCTCTAGCATAATGGTGATCAACATAATAGCTTCGAGACTGCAGAAAGATTTCAAGCGTAGCAAGACTTTCAATACTTGCAGTTGGTATCGGTAGCCAACTCAGGATCGCTCCTAGAAGTCTGTCAGGTAATCAACACCCATTGAAATGGTAAAATCAGAATTTACTGTCTATGTGCGCGAGTCCAAAGACTACTGAAATCTCCAATGGGTAAGGAGAGAGGGAACCCAACAGAGTCAAGTAGTTGGGCAGTCAATAGGTAGAAGCCTAGAATAGTAGCGACGAATAGAGCAGCGCCGGCGCCCTAGAAATTTCATTGTCAGACTTTTGCATGGAAAGACGGGAAAACTTCGAGACCTACAACTGTCAAGCGATTACCCATTATCTCATTTCCAGCACCCAGTTTCCAGTACGCGGCAGCTAGGAGCGAGAATACGACGATCAAGCTCGCGAAGATTAGTAAAAACGGCAGATTTGTTTGAGTTGCGCAAACGGTATAGATCACCATTAGTAGCGCCATGAACAGAAAGAAGAATGCTATCGGAACAAGGTTAAAGGGCTGTACAAGTGAATTGAACAACTACATACCGAAAGTGTTCACAAATCCGGGGCTATGAAGACCTGCCAATGTATTGGTTCCGTCTGGGGAGTATGGAGCTTGGCGAGGATCAATAAGGAGTGGCTAGGGCAAGAAAGGATCTGTAGATACCTGTAGAGTTGAATGCTGGAGTCATGCTAGCACCAAAGGCCAAGCAGAATCCACCTAATGCGAATCAGTGCTCTATTATGTCGTTTCGACAAATTCAAATTCACTTACCTAAGTGGCCGAAAACAACCGAACTAAATGTATTTCCAAGAATAAATTTTAGAATACTAGAGATCACCAGCAAAATTCCACCGAGCATGATAATAACTCCACTGTCCCTAGTTAGTCAATGATCCTCTCGGTTATCTGAGGGACTTTTTACTTGAAGGCAGCACCACCTCCACCAGCGCCTCTCCAGGCCATCAAACAACACGCAAGCGGCGTGAAGGTAAGCACGAAAGCCCCAAGTCCCCTAGAGTCACGTTAATACCCGATGGTTCCAATCAAGGATACAACAAAGCACACAGAGGAGTAGGATTGCCAAGATTCTTTGCAAGAGTCGGCTGGCGGTGCATCATCGGACTTAGGTAGAGCTTTTCGAACTGCTCAGCCGAGAGTCACCGAGGTAGGAACTTGTGTTAGACCTGGCATGGCTCCGCCTTCTATCTGCGAAGTATGAGAACTGCCGCCTAGAATCTCATCGACCGCTTTTCCCGTCATTGTGATGTATCAAGAAAGAATAGAAATCAATTGACTAGATCCGTGTTCTAGATTCAAGCGAGCCGGGAGCCTGACTATATAGCTATGTGGAACCACCCCAGATTTCAGTCTCACGCCTAGCTACCAACCTTGGAGATAGCTAGGATCCAAACCCACATCGGCAGCATTTTCGGCATATTAAACGAGATTAAAGTATCTCTAAAGCTACGTCGGCATACAAGGAAGATCCCCGCGTTCTAGAGACGTGGGGTAAACAGGGTTTAGGTCCACCGAACGGATGAGAAACTACCTAAAACCCTACCCTCTTGGACTCCGGATTACACATAGACCCCTTTCCAGGGCTGGCGAAGCCTTTAGTAGCCGAAGCATCTGCCGAAGTAGAAGAGGAACCCCGAATTATCTGGCTGTGCCAATAAAAACGCCCTGATTTGAGCCTGAGTGAACTTAAAAGCCCGCATTTCCCAGTTATTGGCTCGTAATATAGATTTTTACTTTATTTTACTTTATGAAAATAATCACTTTTGTAAACAAATAAAAATTTACCATATGCCCGGGGAGAGAATTCGGTAAATAAGTGTAGAATGCAGGATTGGGAAGGCAGATATAGCTTTCCAAACAGGGGCGCGTCCACTAGCTGGACAAGGTGTGAAGTGGCGCCTAAAGTCTGGTGTGTCTAGCCACATATACATTGGATATTTGGCCAACTCAGGTTATATCATGCTCATGTCGCTGAGCAAGATCGTGGTTTCATTTTTCACTGAATACCAGAGGTGTCCAAGACTGCAAGATTGACAATGACAGTAACAAGTTGACCTCGCCAATACCCGCCCACCGCCCAAACCCGCCCGTGAAAACCCTGTTGGAATATCCCGGTTGCTGGGATAATAATGAGGCTGGGATCACGTGCACAAACATATACCTGACTTCTCAGTCTACATGTATCTTAGACAACACATCCAACACAACACACAATCAACTCCCCTCAATAATATGACCATTGAAGCATCACTTAATAAAACAACAAACCCACCCACGGGTTGGGTTGGGTCTTAGTCAGCAGACCCGTGGGCGGGTTGTCATCTCGGTGTTAAAATATCCCGGTTGCTGGAATAATAATGAGGCTGGGATCACGTGCACAAATATATACCTGACTTCTCAGTCTACTTGTATCTTAGACAACACATCCAACACAACACACAATCAACTCCCCTCAACAATATGAACATTGAAGCATCACTTAATAAACCAACACTCGGCAACCCAACCCAAGACCCAAATGGGTACCCGTTATAACCCAAAAAAGCAATAACAGTTGACTTGTCATTTTACATTAAGTTATGCACTAATTTTCGATTATATGATTGTATCGCTTTTGTTTGAGATCATGGTATACTTTCGGAACAACTATTATGGACAAAAAAAGTAAGATTGGCTTGTGATAAAAACTAGTATACCTCGTAACCACGCTATCGAATCGAGCTCATTGTTACCCTACTAGAAGATCTCTTCTGGCTTCTATCACCCAGCTGCGTGATTGGGGTGGAAGTAAATCGAATCATTTTCAACTACCTCCTCCTGCCTCTATTCTAGAAACTCTCTACCTAGATTCGGCTCGTACAAAATCCATTTCCTTCTGTGTTGAGGTCCCAACACGTCTTCGCGTCGTCTGAGGTCTTCAAGTGGTTATATCTTAGCTCTTGCGGGGTCCACTGAAAGGCTGCAGGCCGTCTTAGCATACCTGTAGGTAGTCTTGCAAAGTTCAAGGGCAACGAGGAGGGGCCATCAGATTTGGGAATGAAATTTTTCATTTTGAAGGCTTAAATGTGGATTTTGTAGGAGTCGCGTCAGGCGTTTAGATCTATCTATTTTTGAGTCGCGTAAGCCCGCGGGTACCCAAACGAATACGAGTTTGGGAGGACGCTGAGAAGATCGCAAATCGCCGATTTTTTGGCTCAAATTTGAGGTGATTGGCTTGAGACAGCGCAATAAGCATAAAATTCTTTGAATCCTTATAAGTTCATCGCGGTGGCCAAGGAACCCTGGTGGTGTAGAGAGAGCGTAATGAACAAAATATGTGGACGTTGCAGATACCCGTAGGGGGTTGGGTCACAAAGGACCGGGTACATATATATTTTCGAATCGGCAGCGGACATTGCCCACGGGCAGCGGGTTTTAGGGTTTTGATTTCCCGCAGTCTGGGTAGGATCCTTCCGGTCGGCACTAAAAACCGGCATTTTGCTATTGAGATTATCCAAGCTTCAATCAGTATTTAGGTCTCCCTCCACTCTTTCAGTTACCTGGCTCACTAGTAAAATCTGAGGCTGGATTGCATCCAGTTCTACCATTATGTTTTCTCGAGTTCTTATTCCCCTGGGGGCAGCAGTCCTTACATATGCACAATCTGTTACACCAATCGTTGATATCGGCTATGCCATACACCAAGCATCCTTGCTCAAGGTACATTTCTTCTCCAACCATTTTGCTATATATCCACTAATTATTAACAGTCCACTAACACGTACTATAACTTTTCGAACATCCGGTTTGCAGCTCCTCCTGTAGGAGAATTGCGTTTCCAAGGCCCTGTGGATCCTCCAGGCAACCGTTCAGCTGGAATACAGGATGGAACATATGGCCCCATATGCCCCCAGATATATCCAAACTGGGTATCGACTGGTCTAAGCACCACCAACGACTCTTCTGTGGAGATCCATACTTCAGACGATAATGAGAGTGAAGACTGTCTCTTCTTGGATGTTGTTGTACCTGAGAAAATTTTCGAGAGTCGGAATTTTGGTTCTGGTTCACCTGTAATGGTTTGGATTTATGGGGGTGGGTATGTGGCTGGCGATAAGCTGACAGGCTTTAATCCTGTTGGTCTGCTTGATCGGAGTAAGCAGAGTGTCATCTACGTGGCTATGAACTATCGTGTAAGTTTCTGCGGAACTTACCAGGCCATTCTAATCTTAATATAATCTTATATCCAGCTTGGGGCCTTCGGTTTCTTGGCCGGCCCGTCTCTTCAAACTAACGGGACCGCTAATGTTGGGTTGCTTGATCAACGTTTCGCACTCCAGTGGGTACAGAAATATATCCACCTCTTTGGCGGTGACCCAAATCGAGTCACAGTTTTTGGCGAGAGCGCTGGCGGCGGGTCTATAATGCATCAGATTACAGCCTACGGGGGCCGCAATGGCAGAAGTCCGTTCCAGCAGGCTATTTCTATGAGTCCTGGATTCTACCCTCTACCAGGCAACTACGCTCCCGAGGTATCGCTTCAGCAGTTTCTAAAGGCAGCAAACGTTAGCACTGTGCAGGAAGCTCGCCAGCTATCGTCTGCTGCACTGATTCAAGCCAACAGTGAGGTAGTTTCACTAGCACCCTACGGCTCCTTCATCTTTGGTAATCATTTCTGTCATCTACAGTTATTCGGGTTGCTGATTATTGAATATAGGGCCTTCCGTTGACGGAGATTTGATCCCAGCTATGCCTGGCAAGCTTCTCTTACAAGGCAGCTTTGACCACAAAGTGAAAGTCATTGCTGGGCACTGTTCAAATGAGGCAAATATATCCCTGGGAGCGTTCTGGATTATATCACAAGCTAACGGTATGCTCAGGGCCTTACATTTGCTAATCCAGCGATTGCCAACGACTCGGCATTTGCGGCAGCAATAAAATCATGGCTGCCTACAGCCTCTGAAGCGATTGTCTCGTACTTAGCAACCACCCTCTATCCACCTATTTTTGATGGGTCCCAAGATTATACCACAATGCTATCACGTGTGGCCCTAGCTATTGGGGAGATGGAAATCGCCTGCAACGCTGGTTTTCTAGCGCAGGCTTTTAGTGGGCTAGGATCCCGTGCATACCTCTTCAGCGTGCCACCCGGGCGTCATGGTACAGACACACCATACGCATTTTACACTAGCGGGCCGTTTCCCGGTGTCGAAAATGGGACTCTGGCGATGATTCTGCAGGATTATTTCACACAATTTGCCGTTACCGGTGATCCAAATATCCCTGGCATCACTCCGAACTTTCCGCTATACGGTAAAGAATCGACGGTACTCAACATGAATTCAACCTTCATTTCTCCTTTGCCTGATCCAGCAGCCAACCCTCGCTGTTCATGGTGGCAAGAGGCGCTGTTTGTCTAGGACTGGTATGTCTACCCAAGCAGTGTGGTAGGGTCTGTTTCTTTTTTTGACAGAGATTATTTAGCTAAAGGATTTACTTCCCAAGGGCCTTCGTGACTCTACTTCCTTTGCATACAATAGGTTATTTATTATTCAATTGCGGATTGAATTCGGTAGTTTAAGTATTGGGGTAGATGCTCGATAAACTCGCAACCGACCGCCAGAGAGTTTGAAAAGAGAGAAATCTGCTTTGTGATTTGCCATTGCTACGTACGAGATGTTACCAATTCAGACGTCTTCAACAGTTAACCACCTTGGCAAAGCCCATTGACATGGCTGTAAAGGTGGTGAACACGCTTTGGCCGGGGAGAGGTGCTGGTGCTATCGGGGCTTCGATTAACTCGCGAGCCGCCTGAATGGAGTGGCCACCTTTGTGCGGTATCTCTCCTTTAGGCAGAGTTCGCTTTTGCCTTTGCTTATCATACATGAGGAGTCAATTGTAAACGTAAATGACAGCCTGAAAAGTCTTCAGTACTTTGAAATTAATCGCCTTGACCTCATGAGGACTATCAGTTTGCTTGGAGAGCTTATTATCCTCGGACAACCACATCCAGTTATCCAGGTGTTCCTGTAAAGTGTTCATCTTAGCTTCGAGGCCTGCCATTCACGGAATTCACCTCTTCACCATCAAAGCAGAACCCGTACAGTGTTGGTAGTAGTGGTAGTAGTAGTAGTAGTAGTTTACACTGACCCCTCGCAAAGTTGGATTCTAAACCATAACCCACTAGGTTCTAGTTGGGAAGTCAACTGGTTATGAGCCCGAATTGCGCAACCTCTAAGCGCACAGGTTCGATTCCCGCAGTCAGCGTCCTTGAGCACCAAGAGCTACCAGAAGACGGCATTCACAAAAACTATGAGAAAGCTGATATAGCTATAATTTTCCAACATGTGGGGAAGAAAAAGTGGACAGTTGAGTGTACAATGAATTTGTAATGGGGAACCATCTCTTGATGTAGGGGACTGTGAACAGATTCTGGCAGCTGAGGAAGAAGTTACAACTGGGCAGGTTCTTATCACAACGGCGCGTATTTTTCATGCAAGAAGCACACGCCCGGGGAGCTGCACCCACGTCCAACATGTCGCCACCCACAGGTGTCACGTTTCCAATGTGATGTGAGATTTATTGGCCTCGGTGGTTAGGAAGGTCAGGTAACGCATGTAGCAGCCGCACGACCCACAAGTCGCGAAAATTCTACCGCTTTAAAATGCCAAGTCAAGATTTTGAAAAATTCTATCCGCACCCTCGCAAAGCACAGCCAGCCGGTTGCTTCGGCTGTCACAATTTTCCAGTGATGATTCAAGAGGTATAAGGCTAGTTTTTGATCCCAGACGGAGAAGGCCTGCTTGTTGACTTCGAACGTAGCCGCTGATTTTACTTTCGGTGTGGGCGTAGCAAATGCGTTCTACGCGACGCGCTGCGACACGTCAGTGCACCCACTAGTGCACCCACTGTCTTGTGCCCTCCGTATCATCATCTGGTGCGGCAGGCCCGCGATAACCATCAATTTCAATACCGCCGGTTGCTCACTTCGGCCGACATGCCCAATCGATTCCGGAAAAGTGGTTTGACCATTCTGAGTTGAGGTGGTGAAAAAGCAAAACCCTGTAGATGGTGGGAAATGACTCTCAAAAACCAGGCGGGGTGTGATTACGATGGCGGGCTGCCTGAGCGATATCCTTCGTTCTGACGAAAGCTCATCTGAATTTATTCTGCCGGAATCGAATCCGCACCGTTACTGAAAGCAAATGTGAAGTTCCACTAGACCACGCAGGGAGAAGGGCTGCCGGCGCCACTTCTGCTTAACTATACCCATCATCTGGTCAGAATATCATACCCACGTTCTTCCGAGCAAGTATCCAGCTAGATCTGCGTTTTTAGCCCCACAAGTGTCTTTCATCTGATCATGCCGACACAAAATGATACTTGAAAAGGACCAGAGGACCCGGATTTCTATCGCTGATACTCCGGAGGAATGTTTTCCAATTTACCGCCAACAATGTACGCAACAGTGCGGGCCTAGGAATATATATATTGCACATATCGGTCGAGGATACCGTAGCGGCATAACCTTATGACTGTAGACCGTGCTAACAGATACAGCATAACAACAAAGAGCATGCGACAAAACTCGAGTCACATAGAAGAGCGACTGGAGTATAAACAAGGATACACTCTACCATCGACAATGTACACTTTAGCATAATTTTTGAATTGGCAACCTTGATTGCGTCACTCAACTCCTAGCTCATAGTCGAATTTTTCGGAAAAAAAATACATGTACAGTCTATTGAATATACTGCAATTTGATGTACTACCAGATCCAAGTTGATGGACGGCATCAATTCACACCGTGCATCAGCTTTTGAATCATTGTTGAGAAAGGGAGATCTGTGATGACGGAGATCGGTGGTTACCGGTGGCTACCGGTGGGCCGTGGCATCCACTTCACCGCTCGGCAATCGCGCCGCACTGCACATCAACAAAGGGACCCACTGGTCCGGCCCCGTTATCACCAGCTCTCACCCTCAACTCTCACCCATCACTAGCCCTCACCATCAACACGCCATCACTCACCGTCAACACACCATCACTCACTGTCAAAAATCACCCTCACCCTCAACTCCAACATCAAATGTAATCCTCAACATGCACCATCCTCGATGTCCACAATACTCGCGTCTCCCTACTTCCGGACAAATTCCGCTGCTACTGCTAGCCAGCTGGACAAGCATTCATACCAATGGCAACTACTTTGGATTTCAGTCGCTGCCCAGATTGGCCACCCGGCTATCAGACAGGACTCGATGCTCTAATTCACACTACGTGGAAGAGAATGTCTATTCTTGAAGCTCAGGGCATGATTGAGCGCTACAAAGTGCATTGTTCGAAACAGAGCCATGTACGGTGGCATCTACATACAATACTGAAGTCATTTTACACCATGTCTTGTTGGATTCTTGATTCTATCGATTCTTTGGAGCAGGTCTTGGCTTCTTCGACGTCTCAGACTGACCCGAATACTAGTCTCTGACACCACGAAGAGGAGCCTGCAATCGTCAGAGGATCAGGACGAGGACCGCGGCGCCACGGGTCGCCTAACAAGCACAAATTTGATAACGCAGGGCTCAAGGCTGCATGGAAGCTCAAGATTATACAGTCACAGGGCTCAGGGCTGTGAGGGAGAACTTGGTTTCGCAGATGTCCCTGCGGAGACTCTTGGTGTCGCAGATGTCCCTGCGGAGACTCTTGGTGTCGCAGATGTCCCTGCGGAGACTCTTGATGTCGCAGATGTCCCTGCGGAGGCTCGTGATATCGCAGATGTCCCTGCGGAGGCTCTTGATATCGCAGCGCCCGTCCTGCGAGGCACACTTGTTGACGCAGAGCCCGTCCTGCGAGGCAGACTTGGTACCGCGGGGCCTTTCCGCGAAGACTTTTTGGCAACGCAGATCTCATCCTGCGAAGAACACCCGAGTGTTCGGGAGTCTGAGGAGGAAAGTCCTGCTTTTCTTTTCGACGGGAAAAGAGCGTCTTTTATGCTATTCTGAGTAGGGTTTTCGGCAACGACCACTTGCGTACATTTTGCCGGACCCAAAAATTTTCACTTCAAATTCGCACCGGGCGACCCTAATTTCGCTGGGTGTTGAGGCGGTTGATCAACGTTGAAATAAGAAATTTCAAGTGTTTAGAGTGGAGGGCGGGTGGAGTGGATGGATCCAACTGGAGCCGTGGTTGGTATGATGCGATGCGTGACAAATCATACCCCTCATCAACGCCGTCGAGACATGGCTTTTTAGATAGTGAGCGAGTGAAGGTGGTCGAAGTTTGCATTGGATATTGTGGAGGCACCAATTGCGCGCATATCGCCAGAATCAGTGTTTGACATTCGGCGTTTGTGCCGCGTGAGCACGTCTTTGCTAGGCGATGAGGCGTTCTTTTCAACATTGAAATAAGCATAGTAAAGCGTTTTGGGGTAGCAGACGAGGATGTGGCTCGTTCCACTGGATGGGACCGGGCACGCCTGGCAAATTATTTGCCTCCTCAACGTTCATTGGCCTAGGTTCAACGGCCTTCAACGCAGTTGGCGTAAGGTGTAGGTTGAACTGGTGATCTATCAATAACTCGCTTTGGCAAATCGCTTGCCTGCCCGCTAAATTCCTGTCCGCAAGATTTTACCTCAAGCCGGAATATTGCTCTCTGCCTCTATTCACCCTGTTAGCCTCACTGTTGTCTATTCCGTTGCGAGTTACAACCATTGCGAGACAATTTGTCACCCAGATCTCTATTACAGGAACAAGTGGACGATGATCGGACTGCCACATGCGCTGGCACCCAGAAACGAGTCGAGAAGGATCCATCGATGAAGAGACTTTGAAGCCGAATCTGTTACATATCGAAATATGGTTTCGTCGAGGCCCGATCAAGGCCCCGTTGCCGCCAGAATCTGAGATCTCTGCAATCAATGAGTTCTCGGCAAACGATGGCCCTTATGATCAACGTTTTCTAGAATCCATTTGTTCCAGGGCTTTCGAACGCCGCCTGGCTCAGTGCTAGGGGAATAATGTCACGAGTAGATCCAAATCGGGGCTGGAGTGCCTTTTGATAGAATTCATGGAAACCCTGTACCCATGTTTGGATCTTCGACGACCTAAATTCCCTTTCAAGCACCGTATCGGATCCTTCGAACTACTTTATGAGACGTCCGCTCGGGTATTGCACCTTTCATTTTGTCACAGAACGGCTTCTACCGCAGCCTTTCGCCGTATGCTGAGCGTGCCCAGAGACCCTGAAACTTCTCAAAAAGTGTATTTTAATACATACTCAAAACCTGTCCAAAATTCCATCTGAGAAAGACTGGAAAAATCGCAGTCTTGCCCAGAGCCTGCATCATTCAAGTACGAGCGCCTCGCCGCATTATTCAACTATTGGCCCAAGACAGGGTAAGTCTGCTCCAGCCCTGAAGTTTAGCATGGTGAAATATGGACACAGGAGACACAGTCTACTACCCTGTCCCACGCCCTTTGCCCAATATCCCCATATGCGCATGTTATAATGACCGATTGATTGAGTCTCCGGATGTATTAAGGAGCTTTCCATGCTTCTCACTTATGTCGGTGCAACAATTGCGATGGACTATCGTCTTATTGAACCATCTTTCTCCCCCAGCTTCTCGATGAGGAAGAATAGGCCTGAATACTGTATGCTACAGTGCCGAATTCCGGCTGCAAGCTTCTTTGATCTTGGTATCTACGGGCCGGTAGGCTGAGCCCTAGAAGACCTGCTAATTCGAATTCGAACAACAAAATGAGATATACAAACACGGAATTCGCTGCAATGGAAGACACTGAGATTCGAATCCATATTTGGACTGATGAAGCGAATCGGTGACACTTCAGGGTGTTCTTATTCAAACCCAGTCAAATGCAGGA